GAAGAAGAAGAAGAGGAAGAAGAAGAAGAAGAGGAAGAGGAGGAGAAGAGGAGGAGGAAGAAGAAGATGAAGAAAAAGATGGGAGGGGGGTGCAAAAGGGTGGGCGAGAAGAAGAAGAAGCTGAAGGTGGAAAGATGGGCAGGGGGTGAGAAATGGAGGGCGAGAAAAGATGGAGGGCGGGGGCTGAGAAAGGGTGCTGCAAAGAAGGAGTAGGAGAAGAAGAAGAAGGAGAAGAAGAAGAAGAAGAAGAAGAAGAAGAAGAAGACGATGATGATGAAGAAGAAGGGGGGTGGTGTAGGAGACGCGGCCCAACACGCGCACACACGAGGCAGCTAAAAAAAGATWAAAAAAAGATAAAAAAGATAAAAAAAAGATAAAAAAAAGATTTAAAAAAATCGGAACTGGTGGTCGCTGATGGCGGGCAGGGGGGGCAAGAAGAAGAAGAAGACGAAGTAGAAGAAGAAGAAGAAGAAGAAGAAGAAGAGGAGGAGGAGGAGGAGAAGAGGAAGAAGAAGAAGAAGCAGAAGAAGAAGAGAAGGAGGAAGAAGAAGATGAAGAAGAAGCGAAGGAGGAGGACAGGACGAAGAGGAAGAGGAAGAGCGACAAGAAGAAGAAGAAGAAGCGAAGGAGTAGGAGAAGAAGAAGAAAAAGCGAGGGAGGAGGAGGAGGAGAAGAAGAAGAAGAAGAAGAAGAAGAAGAAGAAGATCTCTCTCTCTCTCTCTCTCTCTCTCTCTCTCTCTCTCCCTCGTACTAACACACTCACCGTGGCGCGTGTCGGGGGGCGTCGGCGGGCAGCGTGATGGCGTCCGGGGGGCGTCGACTGCGTTGGCGGGCGCGCGGTTCGAAGGCAACGACGAATGTGCAAGTCGGGCGTGGGTTCGAAGGCGAAGACGAACTACAGTAGTCGGCCGAGGTGAGGCGGGAAACTAGAACAGCATGGGGAAAAAAAAGGGCTGGTAGGCCCGATTTGAAACATTTCAAATCGCGGTCCATCTGGGCCGTCGATCTTGGAGATCGACGGCGCAGATGGGCCGCAATTTGAAATCTTTCAAATCGGGCCTACCGACCCTTTTTTTGTTTTGTTTTTTTTCACACACGGCCTCCTTTGGGGGGAAGAAGGCCCCCCGCGACGAACCCCCCCCCCCCCCCCCCCCCCCCCCCCCCCCTCCCCCCCTCGACGATGCGCTGGGGTCGCCCGGTGGCCAACCGGGCGGAACGACCGGCCAGGCGGCCTGGCCCCCCGCCCGGGCGACGAGCCGGCCGCCGGGCGGCCCCGGAGTTCAGCCTAGAATTTTAGAGAAAAAGATATTCCAGATTTCCAACAACGAAATTTCGGATTTCAGAAGAAAAACGAAAACGGACATTTCAGATGTTGCGCTATTGCGATTTTCCACAACAGAAATAGCGAGAAAACGAAATCCAAGAAAAGAAAAAAAAAATTGATTTTCGGCAGTAGGTCAAAATCGTGATTTTGGGGGCTAACTAGTGTGCTCTAATCAATCTATCAAGACTAATCAGCTACCTAGTCCCCGCACACGTGTCAGATCAGGTTGTCCTGATTCACGTGCGGTACTCCGATACCAACTGTTACATGCCCAGTTGGGCGATGTACACAATAACCGAGGATCCGCAATGTGATGAAAAAGACTGAATGGACAATGCAGTGCAAGTAGGATCTCAACAAGCAATGTGCATTCCGATACATACAAAATGGTGCTGAATAGCGCAGGGAAGACTTACATACAAGACCTGACCTGACCGAGACTGACCTTTATCACGTAGTACAAGATAGCGAAGCAGAGTGCTAGAATGCTAATGACTATCCCAATCAATGTTCCAACACGGACCAAACATACATCATGCTCATCACAAGGTGTGAAGGAGCCTGGCGCTATACACAGGGAGGAAGCGCCAGGTCCAGACATACACAGACGAAGAGGAGGGGATCAGACGAAGAAGAGGGGGAGAGATGGGAATGTCGTCAACACCAAGTCTTTGTCACAAGTCCGAAATAATCCCTCGTCGAAATGTCTGAAGCCCAAAAGTCGAGTCTGGATCCAATGTCACCAAGCTCTCTCTCTCTCTCTTCTCTCGTAGTCTGCTGATGCAGTGAAGTCAGATAATGAGAGGGTGAGAGGGAGATGGTGGACTGAGAAGAGGAAGAAGACGAACTCTCTCTCTCTCACGAGCCAGGTACTAACCTGTGAAGTTGGCGCTGTGCTGCAGGTACCTTGAAGACGAAGCTGGAGCAACGGCGCTGCAGGTAGGTACCCCTGGCCTCCGCCCAATCTCTCTCTCTCTCTAGTACTATCCTAGCTATGGCCCCCAGCGCTGAAGACTACAGCTACCTACTGGTGCCCAGCACTGAAGACTAATGCTAACGGTACTACTACTCCTGCAGCGCTGCCAGTCTTATATAGTGCTGGCCCGTCCAGGAGGCTGCTCTCTCCAATGCCAAAATGTGCCAGACCCTGGGGTTGAAGCTCAAACGAAGGTTGTCTTGAAAATAGGCCAGAAATGGCCTGAGCTAAAAGCCTGGTCTGGTGCCTGAGTTTCAGGGCAGATCGAACTGATGAGGGCCTGAAAATGGCCCTCAGTTTCAGGCTGAAAATACTCAGGGCTGGAAAGGCCCTGATTTAGCCTGAAACGACACAGGGCCTGTAGGCCGTCGTTTTCAGGCTTTCAGGCTGAAACGACACGGGGCCTGTAGGCCCTTGTTTTCAGGCTTTTGGCCTGAAAACAACACGGGGTCTGTAGGCCCTCGTTTTCAGGATTTCAGGCTGAAAACGACACGGGCCTGAAAATGGCCCGTGCAGCCTGTTGCAGGTGCAGCATGTAACAGATGACACGCATAAATCGAGAAATGGTCGAAAAAAAAAGAAAAAAAAAAGTTCGTTAGTTTATTATTCTGCCGAACATAGTATTTTTTAAAATTTTTCACATTTTTAGTTTTTTTTTTTCAGATTTGTTTCCCTCTTTTTTTTGCAGGAACCTTGCCTAGCCCTTCCCCGTCCGCCCCCCCAGGGCGGCCAAGGTGGGCCATCCAGGCAGCCAAGGTGCTCTGGGCGGCCCGGCTGGTAGCCCAGAATTGAACTAAATTGAACTAAATGAGATACTATGAATTCAAGCAAGAAACATTCTCCTTTTGCCTCGTAATTTAATTTAAAACTGTTGAATTAAAATTTAATAGTGTTAATTTCTGGGTTAGGCCGACGCCCGGTCCAGACGGGCTGGGCCTGACGGACCGGGCCAGACGAACCGGGGGGGTTCCGTCCGGCAAAACCAGACGAGCCAAAAAATATCCGAGGATTTTTTTTTTTTTTTTTTTTTGAAGATGGG